AAGGTGCAGGGCTGGATGAACACAGCAGGCCAAGCAGCATCATAGGACCCGAAACGTCAGCGTCTCTGCTCCTATGATGCTGCTTGGCCTGCTGTGTTCATCCAGCCCTGCACCTTGTTGTCTCGGATTCTCCAGCATCTGCAGTTCCTACTATCTCTATTCCTCCTATGTCTACTTTTCCATGGTGAGGTTTCTGTTCCTGTGACTGTATTCTGATAAAGTTGGGAGTTTCCTTGCTCCACTGAAGTGGTTTTAAATTAATCTTGGCTGTGGGTTTGTTGGTGAGATTTTAAACAGTGAATGCCTTCTAATGTGTGATAAATAGTGATGTTTGAGTTAATAGCCTCCTATTTGTAGTTGTTTTTGTTCATGCTTAAAATGAAACTAACTCTGCCTGAAGTGATAACTGAAGGTAAACCTAGATAAATCTTTCTTGATAAGACCAGGCTGCCACCAAAGGAATAAATCTCTCTAGTAAGGTGCCTTTCACTACCTCCATATGTCCTTGAGTCCTCTTTGAAATGAAATATTTCAATTTGTTGTCAATGGAGGTGAATTTGCAGCCTGTTCTTAACATAACTGGATATACTGATGTTGGCAAGTAAAGGGATTAATGCAGACTTACAGAATTCATTATGCTGCAGAAGTGCCCATGCTGGTTCTATTACATAATACCAATATCATGCCTTTTCACATATTCCTACACACACTATCCAAATCATCCAATAGATCAACTGAGCCTGCCTCCTCTGCCATATCCTGCAGGCTGTGCGTTCCATTTTCTGACTACTTGCTGTTTTGTTTCCATCTCCTCTTCTTGCATCACCCTTGCTACTTTCTTGTGGGCTGGTACACTTATTTGAGTGTTCCAGAATAGTTACATTTAATCCTATCCACTGAAAGCACTTGTCCACTTATCCCTGCAACTTTTGATCCCTGACAAACCTTGTGAATGCCTGTTACTGAAAGTGATCACTTCCACTGACTTAGTTAGGAGCTACACAAGTGTGCAAAATCAGTGTATGCCAAACATAGCACTGAGACTCTGAAATAACTGTCTTAAACCTAGTGGCATCTGTGCAGAGAGTTCATTAGAACTTTGTTTAGGCCCGACAGCTCTCAATTGTATATTGAGGCTCAGATGTAACTATGAATTCTATTCCCCTCTCTTCTTGCAGTCCTTTTACTTTGACCGGGATGATGTTGCCCTGCGTCACTTTGCTGAGTTCTTCAAGGAGCAGTCCCATGAGGAATGGAAACACGCTGAGAAACTGATGGCATTCCAGAATAAACGTGGAGGCCGGGTCCTCCTGCAGGACATCAAGGTGGGATTCTTAAAATCTTCAGTTAGCAGCTTTTTGTGAGCTGACTGACTGGTACATCTCAATCTGTTTAGTTTAGGATTGAGTAAATGCTGTATGAATGGCAAGTTGCTCACCAAAACAAAATATGTTTAACTTTAAAGGAAATATCTTTCACTTGTGCTACAAGAGCAGTAGGCAATTGAGATGATCAGCTCACTGGATTGTGAGCAAATGTCATTGTGTGTGACTCCTCTTTAGACAAGATGAGGCCACAGAAGGCAAGACTGAATTTCCAGGAGAGGAAAGCAGCAGCATCCAGCCTTTCCACATCTAGAAGATGTTTCTAATGTCGTGATCAGAACGATTCCAAGGCGCAGAATAGTAAAGCAAGGAATTACTTCCATTGGTACCTATTCTGTACACATGGGAATTCTTTCAGAATCCCTTTTTTCACTGTAGGATATGCTTAAATTTACTCTTCTTTCAGAACCATGTAAAATCTAGAGCTTTTTTTTAATCAAAGTAAAGCTGGTCTGAAGTACCTCCCCTACAATGAAGGATAACTAACTGATCAGATGTAGACTAATAATACAACTGCCTGCTGAGCTGTGCTCTCTGTCCCCACTTTGCAAAATTCAGAAGCCAGAGCAGGATGAGTGGGGCAGTGGTCTGGAGGCAATGCAGAGAGCTCTGCAGATGGAGAAGGATGTGAACCAGAGTCTGCTGGATCTGCACAAACTTGCCTCTGGCAACACGGACCCTCACGTGAGTATTTTTTTACTTCTAAATGGAGAGAAAATTCTGTTGGTGTACTCACTGGGGAAAATCCAGTTACCTTCTACCTGCCTCCTGCAGGCGGTTAAAACAAAACCTTTCAAAGATATCACGTGAGTGCACTTCCTTCATGTGGTGGTGATGGTCACATCTGTCATGGGAGCTCACATTTAGACACTTTTTTCGATCCTCTGGATTAATTTTGTCTTTTCTTCCAGCTGAGTGACTTCCTGGAGAGGCACTACTTGGATGAGCAATTGAAGATGATCAAGAAGCTGGGAGATCACATCACCAGCCTGAAGAGACTGGGAGCCCCTGAGAATGGCATGGGAGAGTACCTGTTTGACAGGCTCACCCTGGGGGAAGAGTGACTGAACTTGACTGTAGGGAATGGGTGCTTATTGTGTTATTGAGTCAAATGTCTCATCTCTCTTGTGGTGGTGACCTGGGCTTTATTGTGCAATGGACTTTTGAACTAAGTAAAACGCTCACTACCTGTAGTCTATTGTATGCTTTCTTTTGGAATAGTACCATCAATGGGATGGAGAAATTTAGTTGGTGGCTGGCAGGGGAGGAGATGGGGATGGGTGGGAATGTTGTGTGAAATTGGACAACTCAATGTTTTGACTCCTCCATGCAGTAGGGTGCCCAGGCAGAAGATAAAGTGGTGTTCTTCAAATGTGTGCTGAGTCACTGCAATGGAGGAGGTCAAGACTGGATGAGTCGGGGTCAGTGGTGTTGAAATGGGCAGTGACTGGGAGGTTAGGTTGGCTGTTACAGGCCAGGTGAAGATCCTCAATGAAACAAAAATGGGCTAATCTTTGTTCTGTATTACCAGCTAACCTGGTGTTTTTTCACCCAAATTAAGAATTCTCACTTCAATGGAGGTTGGTGTGTACTATTAATTTAGTACCACAGACCTTTTTATGAAAATAAAGGTTAACCTGTTAACCAGTAATCCAGTATCTACATCATATTGTAACCTAATTTTAATGTAAATGAGTGCCTCAACTGTCCCAAAGGACTACCCCTAAATCCTGAAAACTAGTGTTTCAGCTCCATGCTGCTGAGAAAGCACTAGCTTCCAAGGTGGGAAGTTGCACACTTGGAGATTTGCCATTTTTTTTTCAAAAAAAAAAAATCTTTCCGAAGGAACTGTCTGATTTCTTGACTAATTCCTGTGTTTGGCCTGTGGGTATAATTTTAATTGTGCATCTCCCTCCTTGCCCCCAACTCTGATCTGTTATAACCAGGTACTAGGCAAGAGTTCCCTACTCTATCAATATTCTAGGCAGGATATCCTCAGCTGGTTACAATCCCAGATGAGAAGGGATGAAACTGACTCCCATTAACTTAACTTTTTTTAGTGGATCACAACAGCATTACCCATTGGTACCTTTCCTTGCACAAATACCTTCACACTTTTCAAAGGAAACATTAATCAGGCTCTACACTTAAGTGGAAATTTATTAGCTGCTAACCATAGTATTAAATAAATAACACATTCAGATTATAAACATGAATGAGCTATGAAAATGACAGCTCAAGATAAGTAGCACTTTCTGTTTGGGTGGGTCAGTAGGTGGTATCTCTTCCCAATAGGCCAGGGCCTGGATGGGGATTGGTTGCTCCAGACACACCTCTCTTGTGTCCCACTGAACCCAGAGTTTAATCCCAAGGGAACAGTTCTCATCCCCTCATCCAGCAATTGAACTCCTGTGATTAATCCAGACAATAACCTGGGAGACTTATGAGGAACAGTATTGACGCACAAGAACCACAGGTAGAGGCAAGTTAAGTTCTAGAGCTCACAAGCTGAGACAACAGCAGAACCAGATTAAATAGTGACTTTCAAGTAGATGTTGGATATGTACGTGATATGGTCCAGACTAAACCCCCTTAAAATATGTTAAGAGGATGGTCTAGACTCTAAGATTTCTTATTTTAAAAGCAAATACCAGGTGTTGTGTTCCGGATGCAATGGATTAGTGAAAATACTAGTCTTGAAGCAAAACACACTTTATTTATGCATTATACTTAAAATACAACAAAAGAAAGAAGAAATTGGAATAACTTAACTCTAATGGAAAACTTAACAGAATAATAGATTATTTAACCACTAAACAGTAAGTGTTTCAATGTAGTAACATTCCATAAACACACCCTTGGCAAAGGCTAATTCAGTAAAATAGATTGTTTCATGGATAATCCTAACATCAGGAAGAGAACCCCCAGCTATTAGCTGTAACAGAGAGGAAAAACAGCTTTCACATCCAGTTCAAGACCCCAGCAGCAACAACTACAGGAAAAATTAGAAACTAAAAATCCTGGCTCTGTAGGAACTTGACCCCATCTGTTCAGGCTGCTTCTATTGTTCCAACTTTAAAAAAATACTCAAGGCCCCACATACTGTTTACTTTATTGAATCCAAGTAGACAACTCAATGCCTCTGCTTTAAAACTAATCTTCCAAAAAAAAAGACAACATACACCTCTGAAAGCCATACTATCATCACGTACATAAATGGAAAATGTGGGCAAGTGGGTTGAAACTGCATTTTCATTTCAAAGAGCTGGCATAGACACAGGAGATAAATGGCCTCATCTGTGTCTATGAAACAGTGTGGAGCCAAAGAGCTTGAGAACATATGGGTCTTTTCCAATCAGACTCAAACGTTCTTCAGCAATGTTGAAAATTGACCAGAAAAGGACTCATCGAACAAACAACATTAACGGCAGGAAAAGACCAGCTTCTCCATTGAGCCGGTCCCCAAACCTGCTGCAGCCAATGGGAGACGAGTGTGTGGGTGACACAGGATTCGGTCGCGTTCACGCGCTGTCATTCTCACATTTCCATTTCTCTGTCCAATGGCTGGTTTGTAAATTTAACTTGGATTCAAGACAACTTCATTCCTTTGAGTGTTGTATCAGCTCCAAAGATCCTCACGAGAAACAAACTTGACCAGGTTATGTAAAGCTGCTCCAGCAAAAGTAACAAATTATTACCAAATTCAAAGATGTGGTTCCAGACGGTTAAACAGGGAGACAGTTGCAGATTCTGAAACTACTTCAAAATGAACAAGGCCTCACAATTCAAAGTTGTGGTTCCAGAGTCTTAGGCACTTTTGAATCTCAGTACGGTTAATGGGGCCAAATTCAGTGACATAACAGAGATTGAACTCCCAAACCTCTCTGTATCCTAAATCTCTGATTGGCTCTGGATCTCAGTCCCTTCCCCACAGCCCGTTTAGACTCTCCTTTGTTCAATGGTGCCAAGATTGATGGAGATTCCTCAGTGGTTATTAGGGATTGTCAATCATCATTGGTGACATCATTACCTGTTTGAGTGTGGGAAGACCCAGGAGTATAAATACAAGAGCTTTTGGGTGAGTGGCTTAGTTCTAGATTTGTCTAGGTGATAGTAAGCAGGAATAGTGAAGATGGCCTCCCAAGTGTGTCAGAACTACCACAAGGACTGTGAGGATGCTGTTAACAAGCAGATCAACCTGGAGCTCTATTCCTCCTATGTTTACCTCTCCATGGTGAGCTTGGTTTTCCTTGGAGCTGCATTCTGAAGTGTTGAGATTTCAACTATCACCTGAATTTTCAACAGATTACTACTAACTTGTGAGACATGGTGGCTCAGTGGTTAACATTGTTGTCTCTCAGACCCAGGTGCCTGGGCTTGATTCCAGCCTTGGGTGTCTCTGGGGAGTTTTCATAATTACCCATCCTCCCACCCCTCCCCCACAACTCTCCATGTCTGCATGGATTTCCTTGTGCAGTCTAAAGATGTTCAGGTTAGGTGGATTGCCCATATAACATGCAGAGTTATAGGGTGTGGGATGGGTCTGGGTGGGATGGTCTTTAAATAGTCCACATTCTAACTTCCCCAAATACCCATTGGGATTAGAAACTTGTCAGTGGCGTGTTGAAGTGAAATGTTGGCAGATTGCTGCTATCTTATTCCTGCTGTCTAGCTCCACTCTGGAAATCTACAGGTTTGTCTTCAGTTCTGACTAATGCTGATTTAAAAACATGAAAATGTACCTTTTCAAGATATTGGGATTTTTGAAAGTGCTTTGTACACATCAAATTGTGTTGTTTGATTATTATCCACATATGCCTGAGATTCAGACCCCAATTTGTCTGTAGCATGGCCTTGCTGATAATGCTCAGATCCATTCACTTTCAGTGATGGAGTCTGAACTGTTATCAGTATGATGTACAGATGCCCCTATTCCTATTAAAATTTTCAATTTCTCTGAATGGAGAGATTGGTGTTCTCTTCCTAAATGATCAGCTGTAGGAGCTGATGCTTTGTGCATATTCTGGGGTATGGCATTATCCCAGACAAGATTTTTAACTGGTAGCTAAGTGTTAGTTTCACTTGTGACACTTAACTTTGTATTTGGAAGAATTCACAACCTGGGGTGAATATAATCTACAAGTACATAAGGCTTGTTACTTCAATTCTCATCCCACAGTCCTTCTACTTTGACCAGGATGATGTTGCCCTGTGTCACTTTGCTGAGTTCTTCAAGGAGCAGTCCCATGAGGAACGGGAACACGCTGAGAAATTGATGACATTCCAGAATAAACGTGGAGGCCGAGTCCTCCTGCAGGACATCAAGGTGGGGTTTGATGGAATGAGTGGCCTTTTGTCTGGATTCCCTTCATACTTTTTAAATAAGTGCTACATGAAACCCATTTTGGAAATTGCAATCTTGTCATGACTTTGTTCTTGTGTAAATATGCAGCTTTATCTTGATTCAATTGAGGGAAATATTTGCCTCTTCCCTCCCTCTAGAAGCCAGAGCAGGATGAGTGGGGCAGTGGTCTGGAGGCAATGCAGAGAGCTCTGCAGATGGAGAAGGATGTGAACCAGAGTCTGCTGGATCTGCACAAACTCACCTCTGGCAACACGGACCCTCATGTGAGTTCTTGGATAAGGAAATATAATCCTTGATGTCTCAAATTCCTGTTTTGAGATCCCTTTATCGGGTGAAGATCTTGGGATTAAAGCACATTTTTGAACAAACTTCCTTCAATCACTATCTGTTGACTGCCCATTGTTCCAAAGGGGGCCTCCATTCAAGCTGTTCAGGAAACTTTGATTTCTTTGCTGTTGGTGCCTAACTTGTGATCTGGTTTTTTGTCAGCTGTGTGACTTCCTGGAGAGGCACTACTTGGATGAGCAAGTGAAGATGATCAAGAAGCTGGGAGATCACATCACCAACCTGAAGAGACTGGGAGCCCCTGACAATGGCACAGGAGAGTACCTGTTTGACAGGCTCACCCTAGGGGAAGAGTGACTGAATTGACTGCAGGGAATATTTGCATATCTTTGTTTGGAGAGAAACGGCATGTCT